ACAACCACCTAAAGCCAACAGACACAATACCAGTAGTTAAACATTTTACAAAATTATTTAGTAAATAGACGTCGAAAAACTAAACTAAATGATATACTAACCGGCGCTACAACTTTAGCCTTATTGGGTGGGAACTCGTGTGCCTTGATGAACGGCGACGGTGTCCTGGATAGGCTTCTGGAGTACCTAGGAGGACCGAACGGGGGGATAGGGTAGCTCTTTTGAGGACTGCCGCTGCGGGACTTACTCCTCCTCTTCTCGCTCTTATCTTTCGATTTCGACTCGGACTCGGAGGATTTCTTTTTCACGGTTCGTTCCGCTTCTTCCCGTTCTCGCTTTTCGTATCTATAAATTGACACATCGTTGCAGATAATTTTGTCAGTTTATTAGGAATTAGAAGATGCAGAGCACCTAAGGTGTTAAGGAGAAATTTCATTTCAAATCGTGTGGTTTACACGAAGAACTCGCTTAGTGGAGAAACAGTGGGTGCAACAGCTGTCAATTTGTTCAAGAATACGCTGGATAAGGAACTAGAAGACATAACAGCACGTTTTGTCCCCCATTTTCGTTTTTTTTTTTCAAACTATAATTTATTTTCTGCATTTTCAGACTCAAAACGGCAACAAAAGTACTAATATTTTTTTATAACAAATTTCATTTCCAGATTTGAAAAATCTCAATATTTTACCAAAATTTCCATTTTATTGAAAATTTCAAAATTTCCAAAAATTTTCCATTTTCTTCAGAATTTTCAGATCATTGGCCCTTGATCCCTGGACACATTTTCCAGTTAATCAGATTTTTTGGAATTGGTGGAAATCAAGTTGAAAGATCCTCGATCCTTTTTTTCAAATTTCGTTTTTTACAATCTCAAATTCTATTTTTTTCAAAATTGTATTTTTTTGTGAAGCTTTTTTAGTTTTTTCAAACTATAATTTATTTTCGGAATTTTCAGACTCAAAACGGCAACAAAAGTACTTTTAATTTTTAATTACAAATTTTATTTCCAAATTTGAAAAATCCCAATATTTAATCAAAATTTCCAATTTTTTTTAACAATTCGAAATTTACAAAATTTTCCATTGTTTTCAGAATTTCCAGATCTTTGGCCCTTGACCCTGGACACATTTTCCAGTTAATCAGATTTCCTGGAATTGGTGGAAATCAAGTTGAAAGATCCTCGATCCTTTTTTTCAAATTTCGTTTTTTACAATCACAAATTCTATTTTTTCAAAATTGTATTTTTTGTTCAATTTGCTATTGAAGCGTTTTTTAGTTTTTCCAAACTATAATTTATTTTCTGAATTTTCAGACTCAAAACGGCAACAAAAGTACTTTTAATTTTTAATTACAGATTTTATTTCCCAATTTGAAAAATCCCAATATTTTATCAAAATTTCCAATTTTTTTGAAAATTTCGAAATTCACAAAATTTTCCATTGTTTTCAGAATTTCCAGGTCATTGGCTCTTGATCCCTAGGCACATTTTCCAGTTAATCAGATTTCTTGGAATTGGTGGAAATCAAGTTGAAAGATCCTCGAATCCTTTTTTTCAAATTTCGTTTTTTACAATCTCAAATTCTATTTTTTTCAAAATTGTATTTTTTTGTTCAATTTGCTATTGAAGCGATTTTAAGTTTTTTCAAACTATAATTTATTTTCTGAATTTTCTGACTCAAAACGGCAACAAAAGTACTTTTGTTTTCAGAATTTCCAAGTCATTGGCACTTGATCCCTAGGCACATTTTCCAGTTGATCAAATTTCTTGAAATTGGTGGAAATCAAGTTGAAAGATTTTTTAATCCTTTTTTTCAAATTTCGTTTTTTACATTCTCAAATTCTAATTTTTTCCAAGATTGTATTTTTTTGTTCAATTTACTATTAAAGCGTTTTTTTAGTTTTTTCAAACATAATTTATTCTCTGAATTTTCAGACTCAAAACGGCAACAAAAGTACTTTTAATTTTTAATTACAAATTTTATTTCCAAATTCGAAAAATCCCGGTTTTTATCAAAAAATTTTTTAAAATTTCGAAATTTTCAAAAATTATCCATTGTTTTCGGAATTTCCAGGTCATTGGCCCTTGATCCCTAGGCACATTTTGCAGTTAATCAGATTTCTTGGAATTGGTGGAAATCAAGTTGAAAGATTCTCGAATCCTTTTTCGTTTTTAAAAGTTCCCAAATTCTATTTATTCAAAAATTTTATTTTTAGTTTTTTAAACTATAATTTATTTTCTGAATTTTCAGGCTCAAAACGGCAACAAAAGTACTAATAATTTTTAATTACAAATTTCATTCCCAGATTTGAAAAATCCCAATATTTTATGAAAATTTCCATTTTATTGAAAATTTCAAAATTTCCATTTCCTTCAGAATTTCCAGATCATTGGCCCTTGACCCTGGACACATTTTCCAGTTCAAATTCTAGTTTTTTCCAAGATTGTATTTTTTGTTCGATTTGCTATTAAGGCGTTTTTTAGTTTTTTCAAACTATAATTTATTCTCTGAATTTTCAGACTCAAAACGGCAACAAAAGTACTTTTAATTTTTAATTACAAATTTTATTTCCAAATTTGAAAAATCCCAATATTTTATCAAATTTTTTTTGAAAATTTCGAAATTTTCAAAAATTATCCATTGTTTTCGGAATTTCCAGGTCATTGGCCCTTGATCCCTAGGCACATTTTGCAGTTAATCAGATTTCTTGGAATTGGTGGAAATCAAGTTGAAAGATTCTCGAATCCTTTTAAACTATAATTTATTTTCTGAATTTATTTTTAGACTCAAAACGACAACAAAAGTACTTTGGATTTTCAAATGCAAAGTTTCCTTCCAAATTTGAAGAATTCCAATGTTTTATCAAAATTTACAATTTTTTTAAAAATCTCGAAATTTCCAAAGTTTCCATTTTCTTCAGAATTTTCAAATCCGAATTATTTTCCAAATTGCCAACTTTCTAGAAATTCTGAAATACGATTTAATTTCCAAGATTATTGTCATCGACCCATCACCCCTGTGCAAATTTTTTATT